CTGGTGGAGCTCAGTTAGTTTGGCGCCATTCCATGCACCAAAAGGTTGCCAGTTTGATTCCTGGTCAGAGCACATGCCCAGGTCACAGGCTCAATCCCCAGTGGGGGTGTGCAGGGGGCAGCCCATCTGCTTGATGTTTCACTCTCACATGACATTTCTCTCTCCTCCTTTCCTCTCTAAAAACCAATTTTAAAATTAAAAAGAAAAGAAAGCATAACATAGCCTTCATTAGCTACCTTGTGACCCAGAATTATTTTAAACCAAATGTTTCCTCTCTGTTCCCTCCTCTTCCTCTTAGTCACTCTTCCTCCCCTTCAACCATCTATCTGGTCTTCAGAACTTTGACCACAATATTCTCCCAGTTAAACAGGAATCCCCTGGCAGGAGGGAAGAGGAAGCCATGAAGATAAACATTCTCATCCAGGATCTGGCACCTTAACTCCCAAGGCTTTTTGTTACAAATTAAAGTCTAAATTTCTGTGTTATTCTCTTTGAAAACTTTGTTTAAAATGTTTTTATCCTCACCAGAAGACACTTTTTTTTATTTATCTTCAGAGAGAGCAGGATGGAGAAGGAGGAAGTGAGAGAGAGGAACATTGATGTCAGAGAGATACATTGACTGGTTACCACCCACACGACCCCAACCGGGGCCGGGGACAAACTGCAACCGAGTCATGTGCCCTTAGAGGGAACTGAACCCAGACTCTCCAGTCCACAGGCCAAAGCTCCAACTGTGAGCCAAACAAGCCAGGGCCTCTTTGGACACTTTTGGCCAACAGTCTCATGAACTCCCTCCCCACCTTTACAACAGGCAATATGCAAGTGAGGTCTGTAAGTCATGGATGAAAGACTGAGTGGATACACGAAAGTGATCAGAACTCAATGAGTTCTCCTTTGTGTACAAAATAGACAAACAACCAAAAACTATTCTCTGTAGTGCTGGCAGTAACATTTCACATCATCAGTAATTGTAAGTTTCCTCTCCTACCATTTCCTTCGGTGTTCAAATGACAGTTGGAAGGAATAAAGCAGCTGCTACCCAGGCAACTGCAAACAGCCTGCTCAAGAACACCACATAGATTCTATGTCAGTTTTGAATTTAAATAGCAAACTTTAAAATCTATGCAGCTGAACTGTCCTAAGTACCAACTATATTAACAGGTGAGAGCAAGGGTATCTCCAGGCCCTACGTGGCTCCTTCACTAAAGTACCATATGGATAGGTAAGGATAGGGAGATGGGATGGACACTCTGAACTTGGGCTATTACAGTTTTCATTGAGAAGAAGGAGAAAATATACCCCAAAGTGTTCATAGAGTCTCACAAGACATTATACAGAGCAATAAACAGGATGGGCCAAGGACTGGGGTGTCCCAGGCTGGGTTGGAAAATGAAAACTGAAGAAAAAAACTGGGTGTTTGGGTAGTGAATAGGGAAAAAAACTGACCAGACATGATAAGGATAGAATAAGATGTGGGGACAACAGGAAGAGAAAGCTCTTGGAAAGCCACTTCCAGGCAAGATGGTCTCTGAGTTGGTGGCTCCTTTCTAGGGGATCCTGGGGGGCAGTGAAGGCCAAAGGTCCACCTGAGAGCAGAGAACACCTGCCACCTACTTTACTTACCTGTCAGCATTTTCAGGTCACTCATGTGCATCACAGGTTGTTGCTCCTCCAAGTCTAGGACAGCTATGGCTGGAGGTACTGCCACAGACTTCCTGACACCCATCTCACAGACATCAGACTCACTGATGCTGTGATTCACTGGCCAAGGGTGCCAGCCTGGACTGGGGGTGACATTGGGGCTAGCACTGAGGCTAGCACTGGGGCTGTCACTGAGCTTACAGCAACATGACAGTATGATGCCCATGAGGGGACTCCACTCCTCACTGTTGTCACTGTCTTCACTCAGCAGTCCCCGGTCAACCCCCAACAATGGCAAAGCCATGTGCAGCCCAGGGGCCACTGGGCTGCCAGGCCCTGGGCAGCCCTGGGCAGCCCCGAGGGCCTGGCCATGCCCCTGTTGCTGCCCTGAGCTGCTGTCCAGCTGCTACTGCCTCCACTGAGTTGACAAGTCTGTGAGGATGGTGAGCAGCCTGACTTATTGAAAAGGTGATCAGTTAATCTGAAAACCACAACCACTGCAAGAAGAGAGCACAGCAGAAGCTCCTCCTCCCTCCACAGCTGCCTCTCAACTGAAGGCAGTTTGCCTGGTGGGCACCAGCCAATCAGAACACATTCTGTGGTCACCTGGTTATGAGGGACCAATCATGCCCAGAGTTCCATTCAAGAGCCCACCTGACAGAGAAGACAGGTGGTTCAGAAGGCTTCCCTCCCCTACCCTGCAGCCACACCACTGCTCTCTCTTTTCCAAGTACACACATGTGGCCTAGTCTTGGGCTCCATACACAATTTTCTAAACATTGTCACATGTTGTCAGGAGGGCAGAAAAGCTACAGATCCATTGGCTATGGCAACTGGGTGCAGAAGTGAACAGGACATGAGACAGTGAAGAAAGTGACTGAGGGCTTCTCTTCCCAAATATTTGGCTGAGAGGAGAGATGTGGTAGCAGTGAAAAGAAAATACACTGAGGATTTTTTATTTTATCTTATTTTACTTTTGTAAATCCTCACCCAAGGATATTTTTCTATTTATCTTCAGATAGAGTGAGAGGGCAAGAGAGAAATACACACACATTGACTGGTTGCCTCCTGTATGACCCCAACCAGGGCTGGGGACCAAACCGTAACCAAGGTACATGCCCTTGACAGGAACCCAACCTGTGACTCTGGTCCACGGGTCTATGCGTTAACCACTGACCAAAAACAGCCAGGGCAAAATATTTTAAGATGAGTCGTGGGTTCTCTTCCAGCCAAGGGCACGTACCTCAGTTGCAGTTTGTCCCCAGCCCTGTTTGGGTCATGCAGGAGCCGGCCAGTTGATGTATCTCTATCACATTGATGTTTCTCTCTGTCTCTCCCTCCCTCACACTCTATCTGATAATAAGTAGAAAAATGTCCTCAGGTGAGAAATAAAAACAAAACAAACAAACAAAAATCAGGGAAGCAGGGACATTTAATATTTTATTTAATAGTTTAAAAGATGTAAGTTTTGGTGAGAAGAATAAGCAATATATTGAAATGAGGGAGACCAGAGTGGAATGGGAATAAATTTGATGAAGTTCAGTTTCAGTAAACAGCATCTAGTTAAATACTTAGCAACTAAGACTGCATTCTATGGTAATAACATTGTCTGAAGTCCTAGACATGCCATTAGATACCATTTTGGATGATTCTTGTATACTTGAGACAACACCTCGGAATATAGTGCCTGTATTTAACAACAGATACACACACAAATAGAAATAAACTTCATTTGTTGTTGTTAATCCTCACCCTAGGATATTTTACCATTAATTTTTAGAGAGAGTGGAAGGGGTGAAGTAAGGGAGGAGAAGAAAGAGAGAGAAATATCAATGTGAGAAAGACACATCCATTGGTTGCCTTCTGCACGACCCTGACTGGGGCCAGGGATCAAATCTGCAACTCAGGTACATGCACTTGACCGGGAATCAAACCCAAGACCCTTTGATCAGAGGGTCAATGCTCCAACCACTGAGACAATTTTGCAAAAAGGCAGAAAATGGGAGACTTCTCTAATACTGTCAACAATAAAGTAAAATTTACAAAAATGCATGACCCTGAATATTAAAGAATTTTAAACCTGCTAAGCAAAATTAAGTATTGTTAATAAAAAAAACTTCTAAATGAGTAGCAAGTCTGGGAGCACAAAGGGCAGCTAATAGGAGGAATGTGATTTGAACTAAGGAAGAGTTTGATTTTGTGATAGAAACAAAGATGTTGCATTTGCAACTAATGGCTGAATATCCCCTGGGAGGACTTTAAGGTCAGAGTTTTTCATGGTCTAGTGGAAACTCTTTTGTTCATTCATTCATTCGTTCGTTCGTTTGTTCATTCAATACCAGAGCTCTTACCACATGCCACACAAGATTTTAGGTGCTGGGATGTTGCTCTGACCACAATAAACAAGGTGCCTATTCTTATGAAATTTATTTCTAGTGGAAGAGTCAACACACAGCATTGCCAATCACACCTCAAACTCAGGCTCAGGATGGCTATTGGTCTCTGGCTGTTTAATCTTTTTTCTAGACAGCAGGGTGACATAAGATAAGGGAGATTTTTTTCAGAATATCCACATAGCACAGGGCTTACATATTTCTGGCTTAAAGGTTAGTCACATGGCCACACACAGCTGCAAGAGAGGCTCAAAAACTGTAATCATAGAGCTGAGTAATTAACACAGAAAGGAGAACTGGATATTAGAAAGTAAGTGGCATTTGCCCAGCAGGTGTGGCTCAGTGGTTGAGTGTCGACCCATACACCAAGAGGTAGCCAGTTTGAATCCTGGTCAGTGCACATGCCCAGATTGTGGGCCAAAATCCCAGTGGGGGACATGCAGGTGGTGGCCAACTGATGTTCTTTCTCCTTCATCAATGTTTTCATCTCTCTCTCCCTCTTCCTTCCTCTTTCTCTAAAATCAATAAAGGAAAAAATAAATAAAAGAAACTAAGTAGCACTCTCTGCCACAATCTGTAAACAAAGGTTAGAAAAGTTTCAACTTCAGGAATAATCATGATTAAATTTCATAGTCCTTGGCAGGCATATATAAACAACTTATACAAGCAAGTGTGTAATAATCTTTTCTGAAGCAAACAGGACACAAACAGTGGAGAGAGGCTTAACCTCTAAAATGAAACCAGGTTAGATGCAAGAAAGACTTGCTGGCAGTCAGTGCTCAGGATTACAGAGTACATGCGTATTGTGACTCACAGGGTTCCAGCCTGAATATTATAACTAGAGGTTCTTATAGAACACGATTCAGTGTGTAAGTAACATGTACATTTTTCCTGAGCTCAGTTTATCATTATCACCATTTTCTCAAAGGCTTATTATGTAAACAAAAATGCTAAGAATTACTATACCTGATTTGATGTGGAACAACTCTCATTCCCAACTTCAGAAAATTATAATCTGGATATTTTAGGATGTTGGGCATTTGATAGTACTGATATTCACATTGTAGTGAACTGTCTAGTGCCTCTTCCATCTCTTTCCACGTCTTCTGAATGCTTCTCCCCTCTTCTCTTTTCTCATAGCATGTAGGTTTCTTTCTGCCAAGTGAGTCAGTTGAAATGAGAATGCTAATTTTTTTATATGATGATCTGAAAAAAAAATAAGGGTATTAGTTGGCCATAGGATCAGGGTAATTAATGCTTATTAAACAGGTCAGTCTTGTCCCCAAAGGCCGACTGTGATTATACCCCAAACGTTGGGCATTTTATGAGACAAATTCTAAGAAGGCCTGCAGTGTTGAGAATAGTAGTTTCTTCTCTTTTTTCTTTTTAGGTGTTTAGTAATTTTATTAAATGAATGTCAGTAGGAAAAATACCCTTTCTCTCTCTGGTGAGTCAGTGAGCTGTGTGCATCACACACTTAATGGCATCAGCGGGCACAGGGGTCAGTGCTCATGGGAGCAGGGAGCCTTATTTAGAGGAGAGAAAACATTCACCAGGCCCCAGCCATGTTTTCAAATGATTATAAATTATTTATCAGTGCATCTGCAAAGGTTCATATAAACACTCATCATATATTTTTCCTTGGATTTCTAGAGTTTCCAGGATGACATCTAATGCAATGATGATCCATTTCAAATGCCAGTTGGTATGCTGTATGAATCTGATCATATACATGTTTCTTGTTGGCTGGATTGTAGTTAATGAAATCAAACACACCCACCTCATTTGTCTTCAGGGGATAAGGAAGTGAACACTCCACTGGTTAATTTTTTATTAAAATAAATTGCAGACAGCCTCATTTGAATGGCCCCCAGTGGGCTTCACCCAGGGCCAGGGACTCTCTGGGCCAGGGCTGGTGAGGCACTGGTATTCAAAAGATTATGACATTGGAAACCTACAATGTTAAAAAATGAAACTTTTGTAGTAACATTGAGAATCATTCCATTGCTCTTCCTAGAAAAAGTGTCTTTAATTTCACTACTAAGAATATGAATGAGGTTAAGAAATCTACAAAAACAGTTGACTACTTACATAAACAGAACAGTTGCATGAGCTGTGACTGGCCCAGATAACTAGAGAAAGTTTACCGTACTTTTCCAAAACCTCTGATTTAAAGAAACAGTACCCTAGAAGTTGGGGTTGTGACACAGAAAGTAAAAGAAATATAAAAAATAAACTGGCCCGTGAAGGCCGCCTGCCTGAGAAGTTACCCCGTGACAGTCTAACATACTTGCTGAACTCCAGTGATGCTGCCTCTCCACAGACAGAAAGCCCATCATCAAAATACAAGGTTTTGTTTTTTTCCTGAGGTTTCTCAGGACCATGAAACAATGATCCAAGTTGTGTTCAGCAGGAATTTGAGATTGAATGTAGCTTTAACTTTCTGGAAAAAGGAAAAAATACATGAACTTGTACTTATTTGGTGAGGATACAAGACCCTGGAGTGGGGGTGGGTTGCTTCTGGGAATCAGTAATAGCTCCAGGAAGGAAAACAATACATGTCACTTGGCTGCTGTGTAGACTTGTCTCCAGTAAAGTCATTACTTAAAACCAAACTTGAAGAATATATAATAGTTGTTTTAAAATGGCAGCAAGCAGTCATAAAAATGTGCTGATTAGAATTATCACTCAAAACAGAAGTTGTAAATGATGAAAATATTCACATTTTAATACAACAATTAAGTGGATTGTGGGAACAAGAAAACCACCTTACTTTGCCTTCAGGATACAGTGATAATATAGCTAACAATGTAGATGCTTATTTAAAAATTTAAAGTATACTTTGTACTTACCCGCTTTTTAAATAAGGCCTGTGAACAAAGAAATCTATTTCTCTATTCAGTACATAAACTTAAAAAGAACAAAATATTCTTTTCCTTCCTTTTTTTGCTTCTCGATTTCACCAATCTATTTAATCTAGAATGGCCAGCAAAGATCTACCTCTCCACTTTCTTACTTGGTAATATACTCACTTGTCAACTTGTGACAACTGTAATGGTATTCTTACAGCTGATCTTTGACTTTCCTTCAATTTTCTTTGCAACCCACCTTGAATGTGTCACTAATTCCTTCCATTGTCTTTCCAAAGTGAGTCTGGGTTGAGTTCATCGGGTCCTCCGACAGCGGCACTCCTAACAGTGCTTGTCGGGCAGTGCTCATTTGTCTTGCAACATTTCTGCCAACGTGTGAGTCTTCAGCCATGTCTCTGCCCTTATAAAACTGGGTGCAAAATATAAACGTTAATTTACCAACACCAAGAAGCACAGATGATACAAACATAATGCAAAGATTACAGCTGAATCTAAAATGCTATTAACCAGAAATCCTTTTCTCTAACAATGTAAGCCTGCCATCTAGTGGAAAGAATACCTGCTGCCTTCCCAGCTATCATCCCAGGAAGAAAGAACCCTGTTTCTGCCATTCTGTGTTCTGAGTTTTCAGAAATATATTAAAGCAAAGGAAGAGTATGTCTGATGCTCTAGGAGTAACTACTGAAGCATGGCTCATTTACTCAGAATAAGATAGATACTAAGGAAAAGAGAATTAAGATTCTGGGGAGTCAGAGCCTTCTTCTGAAACAACTTCTCAACCCCTTCAGTTATATAAATGTCCCACATCCTTAACTTCTCAAAAGCATGTTTTCTACCACCTTTGAGTTAATCAAAACCTGGCCCTCCTGGGGCAACTGCTTTCTCCAAGCCTCCAAGTGGAATTATTGATTCACTCTCACCCAGATACCACAGGGCAGAGGTGAGCTCCCTGTTCCCATCACAACTCCAGACCATCGCTACACACCCTCTTCCATCAGGCACTATTCCACTGAAGTTCAGACTGCCTGACTGGAGCTTTGCCCAACACCCTCGCTGGGCCACCTGAGTCCTCATTCACTAAAGGCTTCTGGCTCAGCTCAGTCTCTTCTCCATCCACGACCCGCCTTCACGCTGCCCAAATGGAACACACATCCAGCCTCTGAACTAGCTCCAGACCCCGCATCTCTCCCAACCTCTCATCTTCACTAACACACCTCAGATTCAACATGCATGAGACTGAACTCACAACCTATGTCTTTCCCAGACTTAGGCCAGTGTCTACTCAGTAGATGACACATCTATAGTTGCATGAGGCAGAAATCCAAAAAAGGGTATTTTTAGATTTAATTAGCTGCTCTCTTACCCAGAACATCACAAAGGCACTGGATTCCACTACATCTGTATCTCTTGATCCCACCCATGTTTCTCAGTTTCAATTTTTCTCCACCCTGATCTGAGCATCCATTATACTGTGACTACATTACCGTGGTGCTTACTACCAGATCTCACTGATCCACTAATACACCTCCTTTTACGCCCATCTGCACTGGACACCACAGGCAAAATGACTTCTGTTTTGCTTATTCGGTATTCTCAGTACAAGTACATTGTTAGGCACAAGCAAATAACCACACAGGTTGAATACATATCAAAAACAAAAACAATAAAGGCTCAACAATCAATATTCCCCCATTCTTTTTTTTTTTTTTTGGTACATGCCCCTAGCAGGAACTGAACCCAGGACTCTCTGGTCTGCAGGCCAACACTCCAACTGCTGAGCCAAACCGGCCAGGGCAATATACCCCCATTCTAATAGCTCTTATGGTTTTGTAGAGAAAGGAGAATTGATATTTGTAACCACTGATATAAACTGTTCTCAGTCAATGGTCAGAATAAAATAAAGACCCAGTCTATGACCAGAGGTTCTCTAACAACATTTAGATCATGGTGGCAATGGTATACCTATCATCTTTACTACATACAGTCACATTTCCAAAGAGCAAAAGCTTCAGTTATCATTTGGTTAAGCACCCAACTATTTAGGCACATCATGACTAAATGAATAAGCACAAGAAAATTTTAAGTCATGTGAAATACTCCATTAAAGAATATTTTAAATTTTAAAGGAATGAAACCAATTTGTCTCAAAGTTGTTCTTAGAGGAACATGATTTAATGCAATTAAGAAATATTTTAAACAAAGTAAAATTTTTAAAAATGAGTAGAATTCCACAACACATATAAACTGCAACAACGTCAACTGAAAACCAAAATAGAACTATCATCTTACTACAGTGTAGCCTCAGCCTCCTCCACCAACCCTGTGGCACCTGAGGGCCCAGGAGGAACTGAGGAGCCCATGGCAAAGAAGCATGCAGGTGAGCACAACAAGAAGCTGACAGCCAAGAAGAAGATGGACAAGAAGCATGCTCTGCGGCGGCTATAGTGGGCTCTTCCTTCCCCACACCTGCCCGACCCTCAACTCTGTCTCTAAGTTATTTAAGTAATGGCTGGGGTAGGGGAGGGTATGGGACACTGGGATCTGAATTTGTTTTGATAAATAAAGTTAGAAAAGCAAAAGAAAAGAAAACTATCATCTTACTACAGCAAGAGAGAACACTGAATTCTATTTCAAAAAATAGACTTCCAATTTAAAAGGAAAGTTAGAAATTCCAAAATGGCGGTGAAGTGAATGGAAGCTACACAGACCATCTCCCAAAACCAAACTAAAGTTACAACTAAAATATAGACAAATTGTTGGGAAAAAGCAACAGAATAGGTGCCTGCAAGGACCATATAACCAGGGACACTGACTCGATCTTGGGAGGATTGTGGAGGCGCAAGAGGTGGGCTGGGAGCCCACGAACAGCAGTGGTCTCGGGTGTGAACACTGCCCTAAAGGTTCAAGTCCCAAGCTAACTCCACAGTACAGAAGGCCAGGACAGAGCACCAAATTAGCTATAGCCACTCACCTTGGGCTCCAGCAGAGGAAGTGTGGACTGCACTGGAACTGTGTGGGGACACTTGGGTTTTGGAGAGTGCCCAGAGCTTTTGCTGAGGTGTGGCCACGCAGGATGGTGGCCATCTTACTCCTTCCCTGGGCTCTGGGGAGAGGCAGTGGCCACTGCCTTGAAGATTCAACCCCACCAAGGTGGGTAAAAGAAATGCAACCAGCATCTACCCCACCCTTGGAAAATCCTCTTAGCTGAACACCTCAGGGAGTTTCTCATTCAACTGAGAACCCAAGGCTCTTCAATTAACCAAGACTAATACCCTTCAGGCAAAGAGCTAGAGAACAACTGAACCATTCCTGGGCTTGTAAATCTACCCAGGAATGTAAGACTTGACAGTGGTGTTTAACATGGGTCTTCCAACACTCACACAAACACAGTAGAGAAAGCCACAAACAGCACAACACCAACACTCACCAGAAAAAATTGGCAGGCTCTAAAACCCACTGAGATAGCCAAAATGGTGAAACAAAGAAACAAATCACAAAAGAAAGAACAAGAGACCCCTACCAAAAATGAGATAAATGAAATGCAGTTAAGCAAGTTATCAGAGGTAGAGTTCAGGGCCAAGATCTTGAAGAAGCTCAACAGTATGAGTAAGGACCTCAACACCATAAGTAAAGATATAGAAGCTTATAAAACCAATAAAGTGAAAATGAAAAACCACCAAGAAAAAATGAAGAATTACATAGCACAAATAAAGAACACATTGGAAGGTCTAAACAGCAGAGTGGAGGAAGCTGAGGACCGGATTAGTGAATTAGAAGACAGGGTAGAATAAAAACAACCAATCAGAAAACCAAAAGAAAAAAACAATTAAAAAACAGACAGACAACTTAAGAGAACTGTGGGACAACTGGAAACGTAATAATATTCGCATCATAGGAGTCCTCGAAGAAGAAGAAAATGAGCAAGGGTTAGAGAATATATTTGAAGAAATAGTGACAGAAAACTTCCCTAATTTGGTGAAGGAAGAAGGCATTCAAGTCCAAGAAGCACAGAGAGCCCCAAGTAAGAAGAAATCAAACAGACCAAGAAAAGTACATAGTAATTAAAATGACAAAAATTAAAGAGAAGGAGAGAACCCTAAAAGCAGCCAGAGATAAGCAACAGGTTACCTACACAGGAACCCCATAAGGCTCTCAGCGGACTTCTCAACAGAAACACTACAGGCCAGAAGGGAATGACAATGAAGTAATCAAGGTCATGAAAAACGAGGATCTGAATCCAAGACTACTCTACCCAGCAAGGCTAGCAATCAGAATAGAAGGTCAAATAAAGAGCTTCCGAGACAAAAAAAAAAAAAGGCTAAAGGAATACATTAGCACCAAACCAGCACTGCAAGAAATGTTAAAGGAACTGCTGTAATTAGTAGAAGAAATAGGAAGAAAAATATAACCACACTAAACAAAAATGGCAATAAATAAGTACATATCAATAATCACCTTAAATGGAAATGGATTGAATGCTCTGATAAAAAGACACAGAGTAGCTGTTTGGATAAATAAGTATGACTCACATATATGTATTTTACAAGAGACAGAGACCTACCTCACAACAAAAGACTCACAGAGGCTGAAAGTAAAGGGATGGAAAAAATCTTCCAAGCAAATGAAAAGGAAAAAAAAAGCTGGGGTAGCAATACTTATATCTGATAAAATAGATTTCAAAATGAAGGCCATAACTAGAGACAAAGAAGGCTACTACATAATATTGAAAGGATCTGTCCAACAGGAAGATATCACCTTGATAAACATATATGCACCCAATTCAGGAGCACCAAAATATATTAAAAATCTTCTGGAGGACTTCAAAGGAGAAATCGACAGCAACAATCGTAGCAGGGGACTTCCAACACCCCATGGACATCACTGGATAGATCCTCCAGACAAAACATTAACAAAGAAACAGAGACTCTAAATGAAGCACTAGACCAAATGGATTTAATAGCTATCTACAAAGAATTACACCCCAAAAGTAAAGAATTCACAGTCTTCTCAAGTGTACATGGGACATTCTCAAAGATAGACCACATGTTAGGACACAAACTAAGTCTCTACAAGTTCAAGAAGAGTGAAATCATATCAAGCATCTTCTCAGATCACAATGGCATGAAACTAGAAATCAATTGCAACAAGAACATGCAAAGACATTTGAACACATGAAGACTAAACAGCATGCAATTAAACAATAAATGGGTTACTGAGGAGATCAAGGAAGAAATTAAAAACTTCCTGGAAACCAATGAAAATGAACACACAACAACACAAAGTTTATTAGATGCAGGGAAAGCATTTCGGAGAGGGAAGTTCATAGCACTACAGGCCTACCTCAAG